CTGACGAGCCGGAAGTCGGGAAGGAATACGTTCAGTTCGGGCTTCAAATGCGTCTCGGTGATGATAGCAATGTCGACCTCCTTGGTGTTGAGGAAATCGAGTAGCTCTCTAGGCTTGTTCGTCAGTGAGCAAGCGTTCCAATTTGCAATTTTTATAGCTTCACGGTCCATACTTGGTGACGAGTGACAAGGCAGCATGAAGCTGTTCAGATCGAGTCTTGCAGGTACGCATGATGATGATGACCTCGGCCACGAGCGTCACAAGTTCCTCCGAGGTGAACGGAGAATCGTCGACAGATTCACCTGAGACAGCAACAGCGTATGATAAACCAGGGGCGGTGGATGAACCTGGAATTGGCTGGGCCGCAGCAGCAGCGAGACGATGCTGAACCATTTAGATACTCGCAGGAATGGTTTGTTGGTTGTTGAGCGGAAGCGGGGCTAGGTTCGGAACATGTCGACGGGGCTGGAGAGCTGGGTATTGGACTTCCGTGAGTACAGGAGGCGAACGATGATTACGGAGGCGACCGAGCTGGTTGTTGATTGTGGTCTTCCGACGGATATTAATGAACTCCACTCGGTTGGGTGTAACGATCAGGAATTTTGCCTGATCCGTAAATCCTTTCTAGGAAACTTAATGGACTCGCCCTTAGGAGAGTCTCAACCGGGCAAATTCACGTTGGGCGCCAATTTGTAGCTAGCCCGGACGACCCGTCTCTAAAACGTGTGGCTTAAGCGCCACTCCACAAGGGAGACCACACGCCCAATGTGAATTTGCCCGGTTGAGACTCTCCTAAGGGCGAGTCCATTAAGTTTCCTAGAAAGGATTTACGGATCAGGCAAGCCAGCTTCCAACTAAACGGCCAAACGGGAATTCCCTATTATCCCCATGGATTCTCACTCAAGAAAGTCACTCAGAGAAACGGTAGAGCTCACGCATACCCTAAAACTCTACGAGAGAGAACTTCTCATCATTGGTCAGTCCCGTCACCTGCCACTAGACGTCTCCCCAATCTGGTAGTGGAATGTACTTCCCACCATTCAAACTCAACAAGAGGACGGGCAACGAAAACTAACACGAACGCGGAGTGATGTCAAACACATTCAAATAATTAAGCTAGGGGGATTTGGAATGGGAAAACAACATTTATTAATAACATGAACGACGATATGGAGTGCCTCTTACTGTTTATTTACATTTGTACAAAGTTCGTTTTATTTCTGTTTCTGTGTGTTCGTTCCTATTCGCTCTCCTACTGTGTGCGGTTTTTCTCTCTCCCTAGCATACTCTTCTTCTCGTTTTGTCTCTCATGTGCTCATGTGCTCAGTGTTATGTGTTGTTGGGTGTCGTCACAAATCGGTAGCTCAGCTCTTCCAAGGCATGTGCTCCTGGTGACAAGATTTGCCGCGTCGAATTACGCGCGCATGCTTTTGGCGGAATTGACGAGTCACGAGTTTCGGCAAATCGTCACGGAACTCGACCCAAATTACATCAGCCTTAGGACTGGCAAAAAAAAACTCCGTGGCGCCCTCAACGGACGCCACACTCCACAAAAAATCAAGATTGGTTGACTCACCAGATGATGGCTTGTTGTAGCTTACGTGGGTTTCGACCAACGGTCACAGTCGATGACCGGATGGCGGGTTCGATGCACTCGGTGTCGCGTTCGATGACCGTAGAGAAAGCGTCACCCCTTTGATGACGGTGGCAAATGGCGGTTCGGCGTTTCACACGCCGATGCGATGGCGGTTACTATGCCGTGCCGGTTTTGATGACGAGCCGGCGCGTGGATCCTGTCCACGTGGAGGTCCCTCGAGCCTCCTCGGACCGATGTGTTGACGGATCGGTCCGCTTCCGGCCGGTTGGCAAATGCCGGGAAATTCCGTCCGACGGGGAGAAGAACGCGCTTGGGTGCGCAATTGGTTGCTGCGGAATGTAGGTACAACACTACAACAGAAAGTTGAACACAAGCACGAGCGCGGACAAAACAGCACATTTAGAGCACACCAAATTACCTTTTTTTTCTTAGCAACTATCTCCTACCGCACAACTCTAATTCACGCACACTTTAGGTTCTAACTAAACTAAAGAACGAACAGAAAAACTTTAATTAAATTAAGTATCCGACATCACTTTAACATAGCCTACTTTTCGCTATACTAACGGACACGAACAAACGCGCACACTTCTAGATTGGTGGAAAGCCACGGACGAAATGGTCGAGCCTGTGAATCCTCAGATTAAGGAAATGTAAGACTCGGACGGACCGGAAGTCCATCTTTTCCCGAAACCCATCGTGTACTTTCGTGAGTTCAAAAACACGAAAGATAACTTGGCCGATAGAAGTGCCGTTGTCTCTTTCCTACCTTATCCATCAATTAAATGGACCCGCCTTAGGAAAGATTTCAGCAAAAATGCTTGTGTCTTCCTACTGCCTACCCTAAGGAATTTAATTCAATAATTTAAACCTATTAAATTATATACAAATTCATGCAAAATTCCTGATCGTTACATGGGACACCCGCGATTGGAGGCTTGGTGGGTTCCAGCGCAGTTGACACACGTTGGCTCGATGTCATCGACTTGCTCGCAGGACGCAGTTGAGTGAGTTCCAGCACACTTGCCGCAGTTTGTCTTCATGTGGCAGTTTTTGGTGCCATGGCCATATGAGAGGCAGTTCATACCAGTGTTGGCAAACTCAGAAATCAATTGATATTTTGCCGCTCTCATGGGCTCGCAAAATCACGCGTGATATTGGAACAAAATATCATGCTTGATATTGATTTTACAAGCTCCTTTGATATAGCGAGACTATTCACAATGTGCATACATCAAGCTGAGAGTTGCCTCGACACAAAAATGATTCCATTTCACATCGTTTTCTTAGAAAGAGAAAGCATAGTTTGTTATCTCTTTTTAATCTTCACCGATGGCAGACGCGGAGGGACTGCTGCAAGCCCTTATGGAAGTTTCGGTTGCATTCGGGTGTAAAGCAAAAATCATTAAACTCAATCTCACCACAGTTTGGTGAGATTTGAAGTTTGTGAGTGTTGTTAGCTTGATATTCCGAGCTGTGATATCACAGCTTGCAAAATCAACTGCAGTTGTTTGCTTGTTGATTTTTGTCTACGAAAATCAAGCGTGATCTTGGGCGTTGGTGAGATTTGATATTTTGATATTTTCCCAACACTGGTTCATACACTGCGTACATCACGATGTTGGGGTTTGTAATGCTCCCAGCTGATGATGATCTGAAACAGGTCCCGGATTTTGGATCTCAGAGCTGCAAGACTGGTGGATCCCTTCGTGAAATGCACCAGGAACAACTCACGGAAGCTGGTGTTCTGGTTGGGACGCCGGTTCATCGGGTACACTGCCTCAGGCTTGAGCCCAAACCGCTCCAGCTCGGATTTCACCACAGTCACCTCCAACGACGGTAATCAACGCAAAACCACCTTCAGTGGCTTGCTCGATGGCAGATCATGCGTGAAGAAGTCCACGTTGTTGTCCTTCAGGAAACATCCTATTTGTTTGTACTCCTCCAGGCTGGAGCACATGATTTTGGTACCGATGCTGCAAAGCTTGAAGCGAGGCAGCAGCTTGTGTCTTGCCAGTTCGGTACCCAGCTTGGCAACATCCTTCACCGGCGTGAAAAGCGTGGGAATCCTCTCTCTTTTAGCAATGGGAACGGCGTCGCGCCCCTTTGCCCGTCAAACTTGGATTCCTTAGCAACAATCACATAGATGAAGACCAACTAACTAATTTTTTCCTTGTTTCACGATCATCCTCGGTGGACAAAGCCGAATCTTGTCACTATCAACAAGGCATAAATAGTAACAAGGACTAAGATGTGTTCCTTGGATTACTGAAAAATTCTGATCCCCTAGTTTGAAGTATTCAGGACTAGGAATCGGTGGTAGATCTTACATCCCGTTACGCACCACGAAAAAGTGATCTACCCACGTTACGGGGCAATAGTAATAGTTGTGTTAGTCAGTCGGTTTATTTTTAGTTCAGGATTCGCTGTGGTAAGTGATGCAATTCGTTAAAGCAGGTATTTGCTTTTTTCATTAAAGTGTGTTGGGAATTTAACTGGTGATGTAAACATCCATGTATGCAAATATTCATGCATGTTTACGTAAACCAGCAAACCAGCCAGAAATTTTGCTAACAAAGATGAACGGTTGCATACAATATGGATATCTCATGACATGTCTCATAAATTTATACGATCCATAATGTAATCGTGTAACAGAAATTTAAACTATTTTTTCGAACTGTGCATGGTGAGAAATGTGAGAAGCGGGGCACACTAAGCTACCAAATCTCGTCAATGCCAGCGGATAAGTCTGAAAGTTTTAGAACCATAGTTTACCAAACCGACAGTGCATACCGTGTAAGCTGATACTCGATGGGAGGTGGGTATCGCAGAATCGTGCACCACACAAAAGCGATCAGTTGAGCAACCACACCATTCGTTGGGGAGGAATATCTCAGAACGGAACCCCGTCGTTAAACAATCGTATTATGGATTTTCACACACTTCTCGATATTTAGTGCTCCATCACAGCGAGAGGAGTCTCGCAAAGCATAATTTCTAGTCGTTTATGTACCTACATCAACATCACTTTGCCACCCACCGGCAGGCAATTAGTTTTCCGTGCGTCAAAACATTGGAACCTCAGTGAACCTCGCTCAGTGGGTGGCGGAGATCCACATGTGGAAGAGAAAATTTCGCTCTCTTTCTGCTCTCACCGTTAGGAAAGTGGGTTGAGCGATGAGTTACCTCTCCGTTCAGCCGCTGTCGGGAAAATGAGCTCCCTCAGCTGACGTAGTTGTTGTTGGCGACCGACGAAGCCGATGACGACGATGTTTTGTGCGAAGAAAAGACCGTGCACGGAGGATGACATAGTACGAAGAATGAAAAGTCATCTCAGTATCTCGGTGACATCCATTCTTTGCGGAGCATAATCCTGATCGAGGTCCCAAAAAGAGCGTCTCGCGTCACGCCAAAGTGAACCAACGGGCGGAAGCTAACGGGATGTGTTGAATGTCAGAAGAAATTTTAATTAAATAATACTCCGGTGACCACATCGTCTGCTGGACCTGATTTACGATCCGGCACGGGAGGGGGTGGGTGGATGAATGGTATAGTACAAATATTTTCATTTCCGAGTGAGTGTCCCGCGGGGGTCGCGAGGGAAAGTGTGGTGAAACGTTGTCATGCGACTGTGAGCATTGGCCGTCTTCGCAAGGATTAGCACAGCTTTGAGGAGCCGAAGGATGATGGATACATTTCACGCAAGGCGCACCAGCTGCAAAATGCAAGTGACAGCCGGAAGTTTTCGAGAGTGATAAGCGGTGACAGTCCACCCGAGCAGAGTTCAAGGGACGCGGATAATACGATTTAGTAACGAATAAAAATAAATGGAAAGTATAAAAGTGAATTTATGTGAAAAGTGAACGGCGACAGGAAGCGAGAAAAAAAAATTAGAATTGAAAAATCTGCTTGACGTGCGCGTGTGACATAGAATCGCTCTGGGGCATGTTCGACGTTTGATCACGTTCTCGTGGCGGTGCCGAAAAGGGAATCCCGATGTGATGGGTTAGTGGCAGTTATTTCGCTCGGAAGTTATGAAACGTTCAACCGATTGCTGGAGGCAATGAATGATTGGATTAACGCCAGGCCAGCGGAAATAGAAAAGCATTTTCGGGCGGTTATGTGTGAAATAGCGGGAGTACATTCAATCCCATTAGCAGCAACGGCGGTAGTCAGTTGAAAGTGCGGTGCGAGTGAATCGAAAAAGAAGCCACATTATAAATAAAGGATTAAATCCGACTGAGTTTCGAGTGCCAGCCGAAGGGACTGCCGCAGAAATTTCCCGGTAGCGGAGGTGTTCGATAGAGCGTTAAGGATTTATTGCCGCAGTGTTGCCGCAGAAGGATTCTCGAATACAAAGGTAAGAAGCTTTGTGGCATTTGGCACTAACCAGGCAGGGCAGCATTTCGGTTCGAATGTGGAATGGTTTGCGTCAGAAGTAGGAGGGAGCTGTTAAATTTGAGCTTTTGGAAGATTCCCCTTTCCGAGGGTCGGTGTTGTTTCTTTGATGTGGGTTGCTGGGCGGTAGGATGATTTGGCTTAGCCACTGAGCCATAAATCACAATTTGGGCAGAAACTTTTGACTGCGGATGGCTTCCGGGAACTTTAACGATGATCTTGCGAGAGAAGGCTGGCAGGATGAGTTGTTTATAGCATGAGTTGAATGTGTTTTGCAGGAGGTTGGTTTATGCACATTTGCTGTCGACGTATAATTTGAGTTAGCTAGTCGCTATTATGCATCCAACGGGGAAATGTAAAATTCTATTACTGATTTGCATGAACAGTATGCATAATTTGCGATGTTTCGCGACATGAACAGATGCTGTAATGTGTAATTTTACGTTAGCTTATTTTTAGAACTAAGTTTGTTTTCCCAAATACATTGCGACTAGAAAATACTCTCGTGAAGGTTTGATAAAAAAAATATGCGTTCTGGAAAACCTGCAAGAACTCAATACATTTGTTGTATGAAATATATGTAGAGGATGTCCGTACATTGTAAGACAAATTTATTTTACGTGTGGAGATGAAATAGTCATGAGCATCACTCTTGACTTCCATCGCTGATTTTTCGTAAACGATCATTCAAACAAGCAAAGTAATATCACCACCGAACAGATGAGATAATCCCCCATCTAAATATTGGTAATATGAATTTGTATGATTCAATTGTTATAAGCGAGATATTGACGATGGAAGTCAAAAGTGACAGTTACGTTACATCGAGGTATACCTGTAATATGATTGTTCCTCTGTCATTCTAAGCGCTCGATAACGAAATTTTACATATATTCGATGCTTTATTGTTTGGTCGAAGATTTTCCTCGTAATTCTCTTGACTTCATTACAACCTATGCCCTTGTCTCACTACTCTCCAATCAACCTTAGAAAACCCCCTTTGCAGCTTATTGGCTAAGAAGATGGCAACGGGCATGGGATGATATGGATGATGCTGCTCATCATCATCATCGTCATCGTAACGAATGTAACCGCTATACAACCATTTATCAATTACCTTGGTTATATGTCGGAAGAGCAAAAGGGTGGAACGTTAAGAGCGTTTCCAAGAGAACGTTTCAACTTGCTGCCAAGTGGCATAATGGCACCGATTTTCAAGGAAAACTGGCCTTGAGAGGTACGGGGTAGATTTTCTTCTGTGTTTTTTTTTTTTCGGTATATGTGCGGCTCATTCGAGGGTTTGTTCATGTGAAGTACTCTTGAACTATTTTAAAAGCATAAGTGTTCCAACTGGTTTGATTGACGTGGATCCTACTCAGTGTCAGTGAATGCTCTGTTGACACAATAGAATTGGTACCGATGGCAACCGGTCGACAGAAATAAGCTCTCTGTGTGTTGCACACCACATACGGTGAATTTAATCCTCTCTGTTAGATTTCATTCGCTTTGTTCTGCCTTTTAAGATCTGATTTAAATCATCTTTGTTCGAGAAACGGCGCCGGTGGTGTAGTGGTAAGCGTGATTACCTCTCACTCCAGCAGGCCTGGGTTCAATCCCAGTCGGCGCCGCCGGGATGTTCTGAGGCATAACATCTCTGATCACGCCTTCCTTCGGATGGGAAGTAAAGCCGTTGGTCCCCGGTTCATGAGTTGATGGGTCGATAGGTAGGGTCCAGGTGTGGGAGCTGCCTTCCTGGCACGTCGGTAGCATTGGTGCTCAGCACGGAAAACAAGATCGACGGAAAAAACAAACCAAAGGAAAAAAAAATCTTTGTTCGAGCATTACTACATTTAGAATTTCAAGGTCTCAAAGTATTATTGCTAATGGTTTTTAAAAATGTCCTGAAAAATATCAACACAATCGATAGGGTAGGTGAGAACTCGGATGATATATGCAATTTGTTTGCAAATTTCTTCCAAGAAATCTATACTACGTTTTCAGAAGAGGACCGTGACCGTGAATATTTTGAATCTTATTCATAATTTACAAGTGACATCAGCGTAAGTCAAAGCAAGGTTCATGATATTTTAAAGGGTTTAAACAATTTAGATGCATCTAAAGGTCCTGGCCCTGACGGTGTTCCGCCAGTTTTTATGAAAGCTTTAGCAACTGAACTTACTGCTCCATTATTTTGGATTTTCAATATGTCACTGAAATCCGGAAACTTCCCTAAAATATGGAAAAACAAGTTTTTAGTGCCTATCTTCAAATCGGGCAAAAAATCTGACATACGTAATTATCGTGGTATAGCTATTATCTCTTGCATTCCGAAACTTTTCGAGGCGATTGTGAATGAAAAACTCTTTCTTCAAATTAAAAACAGAATAACTACTATGCAACATGGCTTCTTTAAAGGCCGTTCAACAACTAAGAATTTGCTCGAATTAATTAATCATTCCTTGAATGCAATGGATAACGGAAACCATGTAGAAGTGTTGTATACAGATTTCAGCGAAGCGTTTGATCGAATTGACATACCCATGCTTCTTTTTAAACTTCAAAAAATGGGAATTCATTAAGCACTCCTCAAGTGGCTTGAATCATATTTAACTGACTGCCATCAAATAGTAAAATACAAAGGAAAGACATCAAATCCTGTTGATGTCACTTCTGGAGTTCATCAAGGCTCCCATTTAGGACCGCTTTTATTTATTCTCTTCGTCAATGACATATCTTTCATTATTAAGAAATTGAAAGTTTTAATCTATGCTGACGACATTAAACTTTTTATGGAAATAAAATATGCCAAAGACATCATCACATTTATAGAGGAAATACAGATATTCCATACTTGGTGCCAAAAAAGTCTGCTACAATTAAATATAAAAAAATGTAACTCAATTACCATCAGTAGAAAACGAACCCTACCGATATAACAATCACTTTAGGAAACCATATCGTAGAAAAGTGTGATAGAGTCAGGGATCTAGGTGTTATTTTGGACTCAAAACTTACTTTCACCGATCATTATAACACAATTATTAACAGAGCTAACAACATGCTTGGTTTCATAAAACGTTTCTGCTATAACTTTCACGATCCGTATACGATAAAAACATTGTACATTGTATATGTAAGATCGATATTAGAATATTGCAGCATAGTTTGGTCTCCTTTTTCAATCACACACGAAGAAAGAATAGAGTCCGTTCAAAAGCAGTTTCTATTGTATGCACTCCGCAAGTTAGGTTGGACTGTATTTCCTCTGCCATCTTACACAGCTCGGTGTATGCTCATAAATATCCAAACATTAAAAGAGCATAGCAAATTTGCTATGATTTCTTTCGTAAACGATATCGTATCACATCGCATTGATTCTATAGAACTATTGTCATCCTTAAATTTATATACACCATCTAGGCATTTACGAAATAGAAATATATTTGCTACAAATCGTCATCGTACGAATTATTCCAAATTTGGACCCTTGAACCAAATGATGGATACATATAATAAGCACTGCGATAACATTGACTTTACAATGACAAAAACCAAATTAAAGCAATATTTTAATTCCTCGCATAACGTCAGCTAGAAATAATGTTTTAACTTGTTCTCAAGACATATTATAAAAAAATTGACAAAATTGTGTAAACATAGCTCTTAAGACAACAATTGTTAAACGGTCTACACTGATTGACAAAAAAAAAAAAAAAAAAAAAAAATAATAAAAATCTCAAAAACGCCTTTTCGGTAAGTTTTGAACTCAGTTAGGTTCAAGCTCTCGCCGCGACCAGATGTTCTGTAATCGAGCCCCGTGTTAAATAGTTTTCGGTTTCACTCTTTCCACACTTCGGTGTGTGAAAAATCTTAGCGTCAATTACTGACGACAATCTCGCTGTCCGCATATCGTATGCACTTCCCTGCGACAATGACATCTGTGAGAACTCGTGAAAATACCTTCAAGGTACTCCTATCCACCTTCGCAAAGCGTCCATCGTTCGAAGAACTACACTTGTTTGTGTATCAAACTCTCGGGTTGCGACTAGACCTGTGCGCCGATCAAAATATTTTCGGCGGGCGGCGTCACGCCGTTTGCTTTCGGTGGCGGCGGTGTGGCGGCGTGGGTTGGCGTGAGTTTATTTTTAATGATTTAGAAAAAAATACTTTTCAAACTAATCCCACATGTACAATAAATGCTACCCACATATGAGTTCAGATTACTCAAAATCGCTAAAACGTAGGTTTTGCGACACTTTCCCGGGAAAAACTTCTTGAATATGTGGAAAATTTAAGAAAATTTTACACATGTTTAGAAGTGCACTAGTGGAACGACTACAACTACATTCAGTTTTCCTCATATTCGAGATTTTCCTCGGAAAAGCGTCGGAAAATTGACTCATTCTATGGGTGAGCTACGTTTTCGCGAATTTGAGTAACCTGAACTCAAATATGAGTTACTCTTACTGAATTTTGAGTCGTTCTCATTGGCCGTGCATTCAGAATTTGTTTGGAAAAGTAAGTCAAGTGCTTATTTACATTTGCAGGGGGTGGAGTCGTATAGCAAAGTGTAAGCAACCTTTTTATTAAGTATAACAAAAGTACGTTATGTAGAGGTGGATAGTATTGAAAAGTAATCTTTTATCATTTGTTGAGCATTACACGTAATTTATATGTTGATAGTGATAAATGATGTGCTTTTATTACTCTGATGCATATTTGAATATACGCGCATTGTAGTCATATAACTTTTGTTTATGTAATTGAAGATGAAGTCTTTCGGATATACGTAGAATCACACGCACAACTTGGACCTGATAGAGATTTAAAAAAAAGGTCAAATTTCAGCGTGTTGTTAATAATAGTACCTTATTCACCTTTATGTAAATCCGATCCTCGTCAGTAGCCCAGTGATTATTGCACAATTCTATTTTTGCAAATGCTGTAATTGCCATGAATTAA